CATACAGAACAGAAAATCCACATTCCTTTCCAGCCATGTCAATCTGCATGAAGCTTCATCCATTTACTCTAATTGGCAACAGCCCTTTCCAACAAGCATACAGGTTCCATTTCAGAATCCAGTGGGTAATTGAGATTCAAGAATTCCACAGCTGATTCCTGAGGAGATCAGGTGGACTGTTTGCTCCTCTTCTGGCAGGAAGGTCTGCTGGTATTTACAGCTCAGTGAACAGTAAGGAGGAAGAGCGCACCATCCATCAGCAAAGGAGACCTCATCTGCTACTTGATCTGACATTCTGTTCACGCTCTCACTGTCTCCAGAGAACAAGGTGCATCCATTTGAATAAACATAAAGACAGGAGGAAGGGAGGGGGCAAAACAGCCAACAAGATGATCTCAGCAGTAATAAGTCCACAAATCTAGAAGAGCAGCTCTCGGTGGAATGCGAGCCCAACAGGGGACCCTTTGGGCACATGTGGGAAACGCCCTTATAGATGGCTGCACTTTCACAGAGTAATGGCTGCAAATTGCTATTCACCTCCATTAATGCCTGCCAGTTAGTTGGTGCTGAACAGCAGTGTGCTGAAAATATGCAGCCCTGAACTCAAACTGAATGGTAGACACCCTAATTACAAAGTCAGGGTTAGCTGGGAGGAGGAAACCACTAGATTTTTGGCAGCAGGTGACCTTTTAAGACTGCCTTCACTGACAGGGTAGGGTCGAACCTTAGAATCACATCCCACTTGTAAGGGCTGGAATATTTATATGAGCAATGACATCTTCATCAGGCAAATCCTTAAATTCGTTTTAAAGTAGCACTGAGTAGGTACTGTGGGAATGAACACACATCCATCGTGCTCCATTTTACTGTGCCCATTAGGTAAAGACTACCAGCTAGCAAACAATGCTTCACTGCCACCTTCAAACTGTCTTCCTTTAAAAAATCCCCTTAATTCCCCAGAGACAGATAGCCTGAATTTGACATCACAGAAAATTCACCACCTCGAACAAGGGCAAACTCCATAGTTCATTTTACATTTTCACCAGGTACACTGCCCATGCAGATGTCACTATTTGTTCAGAACTGGGAAGTCACTTAAAGTGATATTCTATTGATTCTATACCTCATAAAATTATAACTCTTTAAGAGATTAATTTTATTAAGGGTTTGCTAATTTAAAAAGTTGACACTTCCTTTAAAATTTTTGATTAATTTGAATAACTAAGAGTCCTACTGAATGACAACAAAATGATGATGCTGTATGTATCACAGCTGAGGTCACGACTCCCAACCAAGCAAAATTATTTAAAATGCCATGCACAAAAAAGATTCATTGATTACTCATGGTATCCGTGTAAAATTATATTTGTGCTGTCTCAATTATCTCTGTTTATTTCTCGCTACCAAAATGTTTTGGATTGTCTGACCCAGAGCTCCCAAACACTAATTCACAATCACATACACATGCATGCACACAGACACACACGAACCCAAAAAGCTATGTTCAAATGAAATTTTTAATAAGAGTATTGAGAATCAGGCTTTTAAAATGATAATCTAATCTGTGGCATCTCTTAAACAGATGCAAGTTTCCCCTTACAACATGTAGCAAGCAGAAGAATTTCAAGTCAGTCTCTCTGCAATGTTCCTATGCTGATGAGGTGATGAGGGTGTTAACACTTTGTTCTAAGCAGCAGCTGCCAGTTCTTTAACTTCAGTTACTATGAGCATATACGGAAGCCTATTCCTTCTTCCAATCATCACATCACAACATGGATGAGAATACAGGCTGAATGGAAAAGCTCTTTGCTCTTCTGGAAATGCTGAATAAAAGGGTGGTGTCTGAATGCCAATATTCTTCCTCTTAATCCATCAGGCTGAGCTCTTAAGCCCCAGACCCCATTAGGAAATCATTGAGTTATCTATCATAGGGCATCACCTACGGAGGACTCTCTAATTTCATCTGCCCTGGCGAAATAACAGCGTATCCTAACCAGCTCATGCATGTGGCCTGATAAATTGGTCACCAATTGTATTGCACAGGGAAGTTGGAAACTGCTTTCTGTAAATGCCATCTAGATTTTTGAGCTGGTCTCACCCAAGGTACAATTCTCTTGCCTCAAAGTGACTCTCAGTTAAGTGGTGATCTTGAAAACCATGTCTGCAAGGGAGGACTCAAAAAAAATTTGTCACAGGGATACAGTAACACCAATCCCACATTTTGTGGTTAATAAAACAAGTCCTGCATCCAGCTTGGCATGAGGCCCTGATCTGATTTATTTCAAGCCAAGCTGGAGGGCTCACAGGAGAAGCTGCCATTCATGAATGCTTGGGGAGAACAGAATGCCAGGGTCACTTGCAGCAAGATTTACAAGGGCCAGGAACCTTTCTGACTGATCTTCTGAGTAACCGTAGCCTACTTCCTAAAGAAAGGTGGTGTATTGGGCTCTTGGAAAAAGATATTGTTTTACCTACAAAATCTCAGTTTTGCCTGCCATTTTTCTCCTAAAAGGTGTACAGTTAGGGAGAAGAAATGGGGAAGTGGGGGGAGGGGACAGGGAATGCTCTGATTTCCGGATTAACCATCTCAAATGTCAGACATTTCATTTTTCCCCCCTTCTCAGTGTAACCAAATACAAGACATATAGGACATTCCCGGGGAGTCTACATATAGCTTTAATTTAAGATTTCCTGCCCCAGTACATAATTAGGAATTTTCATTCTAAAGTGGCACACCTATTTCCTCAGAGAGCTCAGCTCTCTTTGAATAAAAAAGGTGAGGTATCCTTTGGGGGATTCAGCATATATTTTTACACTTCTTATTAAATCAACCTAATTTATGGGGCATATTCAGGAAAAGCAGTGCTTTGGCGGATGCAACGTTAATTTGTAGACTCTAGCCTGTCCCCCCTTTTCATCCCCTCCTGTGCGATCCCCTCGCCCTTCCCAGCCTTTCCGAATGCCTTCGGCCTCCCCCGAAGCGGCTCGGCTCTCGCCGCCGGAGCCCCGACTCCGCTCCGAACACTACCGAATCCCTCCGAGCCCCGCGCCCAGGCCGCACCGAGCCTTTCCGAGTGCCGCCGAACAGAGCCCCATCGACTTTTCCGGCCTCGGCTGGGCGCTGTCCACCACTTGCAACGCCTGAAACCTCACCCAGCTCTGGTGGCTGGGGCTTCTACCCGGCTCCGAGTCCGACACTGCAGATTACAGACTTCTGAAGTTTTAAAACGTCCTCCCTCGGGAGAAAGGGGTGGCGGGGCTTGCATTACAGACCTGCAAGGGCTCCAGGCAGATGCAACATGCACCTAGTTGCAAAGAGCAATTCCCCAGGCCCCGCCTCCCCATCCATTTGGGTTGCACAAGCTCCAGAGAAGCCCCAAGCCAAATTACGTGGCTCAGAGGGGTGCGGCGAGCCGAGGGGCCTCTGCGAAGAAAGCCCAGGGAGCTCTCGAACAAAAATAAGAACATGTCAAGCAGATGGGGAAATTGTCTCCGAGTCGCTACTCCCTACCATCATGGCGCCGCCTAGAACCCGCTTGTCATGCCTGTTACACATGCAAAATCTTTCGCATCTTGGTTCTGAAACCGCAAGCATGCTTCGTCTCCCTCCCACCCTCCCACGAAAGGGGTTTTTATTTTCTATTGTTTTCCTACGGGATGCAATTACTTCGGCTATTCTGTCAAGTTGAAAAATAATCATTTTTGTTTACTGCACAGCAACTCCTAATTAGGAGCTGTGTGTGCACGAAGGTGTCACAGCAAAACGACGTGGAATCCTCGCTAAACGTTCTTAACGAACTCCTCCGTCCGGAACTGACAGGCCAACCGAAGCAGCAGGGCCGGGAGGCCCCGAAGGCGTGTACCCCTTCCCTGCCGGCCACCCCCTCCCCAGGCAAAGCTGCCTGTGGGCTCACCAGGAACCGCTGAGCGGATGGGGCAAGAAGCGAGCCTGACAGTGGGAAGGAGGGGCGAGGCGCCTTATTGAGAAAGTGTGGAAGGGAAGGAATATCCCATTTTGTTTTAATTTTCAACCATCACTCAAATCCACCCCCAGTTAATTAGGAGGGGAAACTGATATCTAAGGCAGAAGGGGGCGGCAGCAAGTGGGCCTGAAATCCGCATTGTGGGTAGATTACATGGAACTTGGCCTATGCAGAGTGTAAATAAATACACTGATAAAGGCCACAGAGTGAATGAAAACTGCGGGTGTCAAGAGAGCAAACGCTGGGAGGGTGGGGGTGGAGAGGGGCCGGGGCAGTAAGGGGCATGCGTTCAGCCTCACGGCCAGCGTCCCCCTTCTACCTCTGCCTTGGATACAGCTGTGCCAGTCACATCCACTTGGAAAGCCACCTCGTTCCTCTAACACGCATCCCCTCCCCTAACCCTCGCCCTCTTTTGGTGGGGGTTGGGGTAGAAACCACAGACTCCAATTCAGCACCAAATCCATGAACAGCAGACACTTGATCCTCCACCCCAATTGAGGGCTGGGGTCCCCTCCATGTTTTAGCCAAGTTCAAAATCACTGCCCCAGGAGAAGAGCAGGGGAAAGTGGGATTACAGCCGTGGAGGGGGGGCATGGAGGGAGGAGGAGAGAGAACTAGAGACAGAATGAAACAGAGATACAGAGAGACAGAAATGGAAGCAGTGAGACACACGAAATACTCCATGAGCAAGAGTAATGACCATAATCATGCCAATAGTGTGATGTTCTGATCAATATGGCGGACACTGTCATTCATACAACTACAGGCACTCCCCCTACCCCCCCCCAAAAAAAAACACCCACCCTGGGAGTTGGGGTGGAGGGCCCAAAACCAACGTAGGGAGTGGGGGAGGGGAGTCAAGTCCATGGCTGTGTGTGTGTGTGTGTGTGTGTGTGTGTATGTGCACACGAATTAAAAAGCAGGCCTGGAGAGCACTGTGGAATAAGCAAGGTAACAAAAATGATTTTTAAAATTATTCTTAATAAAAGTACAAATCCCAATGCCACAGGGACTTACTTCATCTGCTTCACAATGGTGCTTTTTCCTGATTCTCCAGCCCCTGTTGGGACACAGACAGGGGAAAAAGTGGTGAGTGTCAGCTTAGGGGAACGGGGCGGGGGGGGGGGGGGGGGGGGTTAAGGCATGCGAAGTGGTGGGAGATCCTGGGCACATGGTGGTGGCGACTACTGGGACCAGGTCTCCCTGGGCGCAGGTGGGATGGGGGTGCTGGCAGCAGGGGGTGCGGGTGGCCGGGGTCGTGGGATGGGGGTGGCATCCGAGGTCCTTACCCAGAAGGAGTAATTTCACATCTTTGGCGGCGCTGATGCCATCCTCTTTGAGGTTTTTCTCAATCGCCTTGCTCCGCTCCAGGGCGGCTCTCTCCTCTGCGCTCAGAGTACATCCCATGGTGGCCCCTTCCCTGCCACAGCCCGCACGACTCTGCTGGCACGGCTCCCCGGCTCGGCGCGCCCCCCACCCCCCCAGAGAGCAGAGCCTGGGCTCAAAGGGGGAAAAATCACGATATCCTCTCCTTGGCTGGAAACAAAAATGTCGGGAAACTAGAAGCCCCCCAAAAGACAGCCGCTAACAAGATTCCAGCCGCGGGGACTCGCGGCAGCGGGCGGGGGTCTGGGGTGTGGAGCCGAGCGCGGCCGGGGTCTGAGGCTCCGGAGCCGAGGGAGGAGGCGCCCGTGGGCCGAGGCGGCGCGGGCTGCAGGCACTGAGGCTTGTGCACGACCCAAAATAAATAAAATAATAGTCGCGGCTGGAGCCGCAGCCGGAGCCGGCGGAGGGTGGGGTGGGGGGCAGGGTGGGTCCTTCTGCCGCGGCTGCCGGCGGAGGAGGCGGCGGCGGCGGCGGAGGAGGCGGAGGCGGCGGCGGCGGCGGCGGCGGCGCGGGGTGTGGAGGGCGTGAGTTGGGGGGTGCTGCTAGTGCATGTGCATCGCCGGTCCTCGGCCGTCGGTGCGTCCGCGGCGCCTTCGCCGACCCCCGCGCGCTGGGCAGGGCTGGGCAGGGGGCCGGGCCGGGGGGCAGGTCTCTAGCGGGAGGCGGCGTCGCTGTCTCCCAGGACTCGCATCGCTCGGTGGAGCCTACCGGAGAGAGGGAGAGCGCGAGGGAGCCGAGGCCAGCCGGGAGCTCGAGGGAGAGGGAGAGAGAGAGAGGCAGGGAGGGAGGGGAAAAAATGAAGGGAGAGCGAGCGAGCGAGCGAGCGCGCGCGCGCCGGGGCCGGGCGGGGGAGGGGGCGAGCGCAGCGCGCGAGTGCGCCGGCGGCTCTGCGCACCCGGCTCCGCTAGCCGCCCGCTGACGTCAGCAGGGCCGCGCGCTGGGCCCCCGGGACCGGGAGGCTGGGGGCGGGGGAGGCGCGCACTCCGGGGCTCGCGTCAGCCGGCGCGACGCGCACGGGCGCGCGCGCTCCCTCCCCCGCGCCCTCCGGCCCGCGGCTCCCTGGTGGGCGCGTGCGGGCTGGCGGGGCGGGCTGGGGCGGGCGCCGCGCGGCGCCCACCCGCTGCTTGCCGGGCGCGCTTTCTGCGCGGGCCTCCTGGTCGCTGGGAGCGCGGGCCCTGGCGGCCGGCGCGGCCGTCAGGTGGGTCCCCCGGCTCGCGCCCCGCGCGGCCTCTTTTCCTCTCCGGCCTGCTCTCCATCTTTTCTCCAGCAGCTCGCCTTGGTTGCTGTCCAGCTGCTGGGGCCGGAGCGGCCGCGGCCAGGTTACCTCAGCAAACGTGAGGAGGCAGCGGGTCAGAATAAACCTGCGCACCCCGTAATTCGCCTCTGGGGCACAAGGGCAGATTCGGATCTTTCGCTTCCTGCATCCGCATTTATTGAGCACCTAGTATGTGAGAGACGAGGCTGTGAGGAGAGGAACGCAGCAGGCTGGGACAAAGCCAAAGCCTGTACTTCAGGACCTTCTGCCCCCGTGGCCCTCGCGACCCTGCTCCGAGATTCCGGCCCCGCTCTCAGTGCGGGAGACGCTTCCCGCCCAGAGGAGGCTTCGGTGCCCAGAGGGGAAGGACAGGTTTTCTTGCCATTGGGAGCTCCTAGCAAGTGCTTGCTCCCCAAACACAGTTTATTTAAAAAGCTTTTGAAAATGTTGGACGGTTTAGCTTGGTTGAGGTCGTCTTTGCCCAAATCCTCTTGTCCCTGCCCCTTCCAAAAACAAAAACACACAAAATGAATTTTGAATAGGTTTTTGATGAGAGAGGAGATTTTCTTCTTTTTTTTTTTTCATCTTTTAAAACAGTTTTACACATTTCTCCTCAGAAAAAGACCCAAAAAACCCAAGCCAGTTACTCAGTGTACAGCTAATCAAATACTGAGGAAACGAGTAGACATTTGCCAAAGACTGGGCATGTTATGGGTGGTCTCAGATTTTGAAGAAACTAATTCTTACTGCGCAAAATAGTTTTACAATCAGTTCCATCAGACAGCGCCAGGGGCTCTCCTAAGGAAAAGGGCCAATAAGCAAGGTTGCACGGGGATAAGAAAGGCAAGCGGCCAGTGGAAAACGTTTTTTCTAACAGTTGGGCATTTCTGTGGCTATGAAAGCGAACTTGTTTGTTTCATTTCAGCGATAGAAAAAACACTCCTGTTTTGGAAATGTTACCCAGCATAAAAATACATTTGCAATGGAGGGGGAAAAAGGCAGTTTAGGGCCACCCAGAAGTAAATATTTTTCCCCAGAATTTTTTTTTTTTATTGGGTCTTTCCCAGTATGGGTTTGCCTCATTTTACAAATAGCTGTCTGTGTCAAGTTGTATGTAATTTAAATATTTAAATTTGAATCACATTGTACATATTCTAGAAAACGGACAAAGGAAACCCAGAGAGAATTGTTTTATAAAGTAAATAACTGCTTCCCTACTACCCCTCCCCATTCTTCTTGTGTGTGTGTGTGTGTGTGTGTGTTTGTTTTGAGGGGCATGTTAGTGGATAAATCTAGTTTGGCTTAAAATCCAGGTGTCAATAAAAACCAGCCCTTCAAATCCAAAACAGAGAACTTAGGTACCCAGCATTCTATAGAATTTATTTTTTCAAGAAGTTGCTAGGACAATTATGCAAATCTACCAGATGCAGGAAAAAAATTCAGCAACCTCACCCCGGTTCTGCTGTCCCTACAAGACTGCATTTGAAAGACTGAAGAGGTAAGCATATAACCATTTCCTTGCAGATGGTGGGTCGCATTTTACACTTTACTGCTCTTTCATATCAAGTAATTTAAAATTTAAGATCTTAGACTCTTGGGGCATTCTGGTTTGCATGGTTGAATGAAATTATCCTTGACTTTGGGTATATTTATTCTTTTGTGGTATCAGACTTAGTATGGTGGTGGCACAAACTTGTGTTTGGTGTTTTTCTTTATTCAGTACTTATTTAGCACCTATGGACCATGTATGGGGTAATGTTCTAGGCACTATTGATGTTGTATTTCAGGTTTGTCTACTCTGTTTTCTTTTTCTGGGTCACTTTGCATCTTTATAGCTGGGCTTCTAATAATAATAATAATCCACTTCATCTGTATACTGCTTTATGGCTTACAGAGAGAGCACTTTTGCAAAAATTATCTCATGTGATCCCCTCACATAAACCTCACTTAAGCATTATGGTGTGGGAAGCGTCATAGCTGAGTGGAAAGAGCCTGGACCACGAATGCAGATCAGCTGGGTACCCATTTTACAGTTGAGGAAGCTGAGCCTTAAAGGGGTTGAATAACTGTTCAAAGTCACAAAGTCATTAAGTAGTAAGCTAGTGCTCCTTTTACAGGTTTGTGAACTGTCTGAGAAATACCGTGTTATATACATAGATAAAGTATGCTTCTCAGACTCACAGAAAGCTTACAACCCCAGAACCCCATTATTAAATTTATTCTGGTTCTCCCAAAGGAAGTAAGGATGAGAATCTCTCAGTTCACTGTGAATTATTAGTATTAATATTAGCTAATACCACAGTTGTTTAACTTGTTCACAATTAATTCCTGCGGGAATGAGGAAATTGGCATCCTAACATGAAGAGTGGGGGCATGCTTAAACCAAGGACAGATTCCATTTTGTTTTATATGGTTCTCAGAATTATAGTTATTTGATTATTGCTGTTGTCCAGAGAATAACTCTCACCCCACCCTCATTCAGCCATCCCCTTTGCTACACATGTACTGTTCAGCATATTTTTAATTTTAAAAGTGTAATTAGAATGTTTTAAATACTCTCTAGGCCAGGCGCGATGGTTCACGCCTGTAATCTTAGCACTCTGGGAGGCTTAGGCGGGCGAATCGCTCGACGTCAGGAGTTCGAAACCAGCCTGAGGAAGAGCGAGACCCCGTCTCTACTATAAAGAGAAATTATATAAATAGAAAGAAATTAATTAGCCAACTAATATATATAGAAAAAAAATTAGCCGGGCATGGTGGCGCATGCCTATAGTCCCAGCTACTCTGGGGGCTGAGGCAGCAGGATTGCTTGAGCCCAGGAGTTTGAGGTTGCTGTGAGCTAGGCTGACTCAGGGCACTCACTCTAGCCTGGGCAACAAAGCGAGACTCTGTCTCTAAATAAATAAATAAATAAATACTCTCTAAAAGGAACAACAGCAAAACCTGCATTAAGTTGCTTTTTTACTACATATGGCTCTTAGTTCTGGAACACAATAATTCATGATATATATATATATATATATGTATATATATATATATATATGTATATATATAAGATTCCACAGCTCTGACTTCCAGAATGTGGGCTCTGATTAGGGAAACGGAATTTCCCTATTTGTTCCCTTTTATACTTTAATTAAATATGAAATTACTTTAATTAAATATGCATGTATTGACAATCTCCTATGTTTAATATATTGATTTAGAGGTGAAGGAAGGTTCAGATATAAGAGCTTGGAATCTGGAAATCTTGAAACCCCTGGAATGTTTTCTCAAAACCATTCACATTAGAATCAGCTGGGGTGCTTGTTAAAAATTCAGTTATCCATCTTGCTTCTACCAAGTCATACACTTCTGCAATTTGCATTGATAGCCACTCCCCAGATGATTTTTCTGTGTACAAAGTGTTGATCTTATACAGAATCTGGCTGTGCCAATTAATTCCACTAGAAGCTTACTTTCTTAAAGACCAGATATATCATCTGTTTCTGAATTCAACTTTTCTTTATGTTTACTAGTTTTTTGTATTTCTGTCAAAAGAAAAAAATTATGAAAATTACTGTTCCTTATGAAGACCACTTTCATGGGAAGAAAATAGGCTAAAATGTGTGGTTCATGAACTAAATGAAGCTAAACTAAATGTCAAGTGAATTAGGCATTTTAGAGAGAATGGTAGATCACTACAAATTTTGGATTTTTGCACTGTTTCTATTGTAAAATTGACAGCTCATAATCCAACTTAGTGGTGAATATAATTTAGAAGTATGTTTGGGTTAGAATAAGAGATGACCTGTTTTCTGATAAATATCTGGCATTAATGAGGGAAAGTGCTGATCAATTTTTTTTTTTTATGTCCCTAAAAGACAAGCCCCCTATTCATTGTTTTGCTAACTGATATTTTGGGCACATCTCTCAGACCTACCAGAGCAGTGATTCTCAAACATTTTTGTGCATAGGAATTACCTGAGATGCTTTTTAAAATGCAGATTTCTGGGTCCTATCCCTAGAATTTCTGAATCAGTAAATCTGAGGTGGAGCCTGGGGATCTTCATTTTTGCAATCATACCTTCTCCCCCAAGTGATTACTGATATGCTTTGGGAAACACATTACTGGTCTCTAAACTCCTGTGAGGTTAGAGAATTATGGAAAATTGGAGGGGCCAGGACTAGTGCTTTCATGTTGTTAAGGTAGACCAAAAGCTAAAATGAAGATGGAAGCTTCACTTAATATGACTCAACAGTACTAGTTTCCTATTGGAATTTTTTTGGAAAATCTTTCATCAGAAACAAAGATTCTTATTTGTTTTCATGGAAATAAGAATACTTTCAGCCTATCCGGATCGGTGTTGACAGATAAGATCAGCAGGTACATAATTGTAACGTATTTATTTAATACTTATTATATCCTCCAGAAGACAGGAGATTTCCAGATACAAAGGTTTCCTGCATTATTTATCATCTTTTCTATCTATAGAGCCTTTCACACATGCATCTCAAACATGTTTTAGACATTATCTCATAAGTCTTCTGTAAGCTTCAAGGTCCAAAGTCTATTACCACATTGCTCTTTGCAGATAGAACTGTTTTATTTATTCCTGACAGTTTTATTTGTGCAAGAAGTAGAAGTAGGTGAATTTTATCTGAATCCAGTTAAAACCAATTTGAATTGGCTGTAACAAGTGTGACTGGGGAGAAGGGGAGGCTGTCAGTTAGTTCAGACTTAGAAGTGGGTTGAGGGTGTTTGGCCAGACTAGACTGATTTAATTTTGTGACCCGTCTGCATCCACTAAAGCTGCAGTCCCCAACCCCAGTGCCCATCCCCTGGCCTGTTAGGAAATGGGCTATCTATCACCTCCTGAGCTCTGCACCACCTTCTCTCAACCCCATGACACCCTACCCCCCACCCTTGGTCCATGGGAAAATTGTCTTCCATGAAACTGGTCCCTGGTGCCAAAAAGGCTGGGGACTGCTGAAAAAGTACATGTGGTTTGGGGTATTCCCAAAGTCAGCCAAGTATCGAGAACGAGGCGTTCCAGTGGGGCAATGTGGTTCTTTAGTTGAGCTGACATTTAGGCGTGTTATCTGTTCCCCAAAGGCCTGCAAAACCCTGACCTCTGTGGCAGAGAAAAACATTTTTGTGAAATTCCTGAGTGTGTAATGGAGCACATCTATAAAACTGAAAAAGGACAATTCAGAAAGAGACGCACATTTTCAGCCAGACACCTACCCCATAGAACTCTTAACTAGAATCACTCAGAGCTTGAAGTAAAAAAAAAAAAAAAAGAACTGCACTGATTTTCCTCTTAAGCCATCCCCGAAGTCCACTATTTCCCCCCTGGTCATTGTAGCCTTTGGAGAGGGCTAAGAGAAAAGAAAAAAAGACTCTGAATTAGTTACATCCAATATAAATTAAAAAAATGTACCGTTCCTAATGACCAAAGAAAGGATATACACAGATCTCAATTAAAAAACTGAATGTAATGACTTAATGATGACTCTGAAATTAATGAGATAGATGTCCAAAGGCAATCTTAAAAATAATCGATATTGGGGGTTAAGAAGTAGGGTGAATGGGGCAGTGGAAAAAAAAAAGATTTAGGGATTGTTTAATTTGATCACTTTCTTTGATTCTACTTTTTTTTGTATAATCAGATTAGACATCTTAATTTTCTGAATTCCAAGACAGTGGTTGATATAGTTTGGATATTTGTCCCCTCCAAATTTCATATTGAAATTTGATCCCTAATGTTGGAGGCGGGGCTTAGGGGGTGGTGTTTGGTCATGGGGACAGATCCCTCATGAATGACTTGGTGTCTTCCCAGCATTGAGTGAGTTCTTACTCTTAGTTCTCCTGAGAGCTGATTGTTAAAAAGTAACTGGTGCCTCCTCCCCTGTCTCTCTTGCTCCCTCTATTGCCATGTGACATGTGGCTCCCCTTCCCCTTCTGTCATGATTGGAAGCTTCCTGAGGACCCACCAGAAGGTGATGGTAGTACCATGCTTCTGTACAGCCTGCAGATCCATGAGCCAAATAAGCCTGTTAATATTTTCTTTATAAATTACCCAGTCTCAGGTATTCCTTTATAGCAATGCAAAATGGACTGAGACATCATGCTACTTTCCTGTACATCATGCTACTTCCCTAAGATCCAGGATTCAAAGATTATATCTAAGTTACTCTTTTAAATAGCATAGAGTCCAATTATGTTATTCATATTTTAGTGAGTTTTTACTTTACTCAGTAATCTTTCCTCCCCATTGTCAGATATTATTGATTATCATAAATGAAATTTATCCAAGAAATTTATGATCCCATGATATCTATTCTGATAAATTATTCCTAGCTCTTAAAGTAGACAGATTATCTTTGTAGTGTGTATTCATCAGAATATTCTCCATATTTTGCAGGCCCTCCCTCCCCATAAAAGGTGACAACCATAAATTGGGAATAGATGCTATGAAACTATTAAGGGAAGATATTGTTAACAGCTTCAGTCCC